ATCAGCTCCAGGCATGACGAAGCAGATATCGTCCTCTTTTGGAAGGCCAAACAAAGTAATTTCACTTTCACAACGAAACATAGTGCCTTCACGGCATGGCGGTGGTGGCAACAGCGAGAATAAAAGTTAAGCCTTCTTTCCTTGCGTGAACATTTGGGCGGCGTTATGCAAATCGTCCCACACAGTGACGTAGCCATGTGGGGGCGTGTTAGAACGAGCCGTTTTAGGTAGGTGTGGCTGACTCTTAACTTGTATAAAGAATATCCAAAGAGAAAGGAGAAATTGAAATCGCATCATATGACCCCTTTAACAAAACCTGGAGGAAGCATTTCACTGTTAGATGTCACTGTAGATTTAGCAGCACAGTACTGTAAAAACAATACCACATTTCTACATTACAGTAAAATGCCTTAATATATGCCTTCTGGGTGATTTTGACTGAGTGGAAAATTGACATCCTCGCAGACATCCAGTTTAATCTCGCAAAAACTCACGTTAATAAAAAATCTTACTACACTGCATCTTTGTTGTTTATGATGAATTCGGTGCTTGCACGTACACGCACATTTTATAAATGAGGCCCCAGAACGTTTCTCATTTTTTAACTCATTTAAAACGCTAAACAAAAATTTAAAATGTTTCATTTTTTTTTGCACAAATAAGCTTTTCATTATTTGTAACGTTCTATCGAAGATTATTTTCAGTCCCAGTCGTGCAGCGAGTCTTATAGTAGGCTATTTGTCAAAACGTACCTTTTTCTGTTCCATGAAAGACAGTCATATGGGTTCCTTGTAGGTCCGGTGAGGTCTCAAGAACATGATTACAAGATCAAGACCACGGGCCAGTTGCAGAAAAGGTTTAGACTAGTCTTCAAAGCTAGTCATCCAATTCTTTTCTTTAAGACTGGTATTAATTTTTTTTTTATTTGGTCATATGAAAATGTAGATGAGTCTAAGTTGAATCCAAAAAATAAGACTGATTACCCTTTGGCTAATTGGTAGTTGGTCAGACTACTTGAAGACACTGTTTTGGCACAGAGGCTAAGTTTATGCAACTGGCCCCATGTTTGGAATAAAGACGTCTTACTGTGTGAAAACATAACAGTGGAAAGAGACCCGTGCTGTGAGCATCTGTTTATTACACAAATAAGAACTTTGTGGCATGAAAACACATCGATAACATCATGATAACAAGATAAACGTTGAGTATAAATATATATCTGATGGCGAGCCGTTACAGCTGTCCTCGAAATTCACAGACATCACTGAACAACAAACACAGAATGCATTTAGTCTCCAACTTCATGCTGCTGAATAGAGACTATAAACAAGTCCTGTTGAAGACAAGTCAAGTCAAATTGCGTTTATTTCTATAGTGCTTTAAACAACAGATGTTGTTTCAAAGCAACTACACAGTATTAAACAGGTAAGAAACAGAATCAGTGATGCAAACTTCATTAAATATGATACAAATTCAAATTCTGCAGCTTTAAAAAGACAGTTAACAATATACATTTTTAATGTTTTATTTTTTCAATATTCTTTGAATATAAAAAAACTTTTAATTGAAATAATTTAAAAATTACTGTAATACAATGATTTTTATACTTAAATCAACTAATTAAATTCAATTAACAAGTACTTCCATGACGCAAAATTCCATTACAATTTCAATAATTAAATTAAAATATTATTTAATTCGGATTACAGTAATGAAAAGGTTAAAAAAAGTTCTTATATATCATGAAAATAATCAGTAACAATGCAAAAAATCTTAATGGTTTTAAAACTAGCCTTTATTTTCTTTAAATAAAATATTTAAAAATATATACATTTAATATGTAATTTTATATTATATAAATATGTTATAATATATAATATTTAAATTATATAACATCACATTTAAAATTAATAAAATATAAACTCTTTGATTTTGGGATGAATGTACTTTGAGCTGATAATATTTATTATACCTTAAATTCAAATAAATAACAATAATTTAAAATACAATTCAAAGTGAATTCAAATTATTTTACTTTGAACTTTAATTCAAAGTGAAATAACACAATCAGTGATGCAAACTTCATCAAATATTAGACTAATTCAAATTCTGTTTTTACAACAACTCTAAAAAGACAATAGTTTCATTATTCAGTCAGATCAGTGTTCATTCAGATTTCATTCAATAACCGTGTAAAGTTAATCAATTATAAAAACGAGTTTGAATATTAATTGTATTTCAAGAGAACGATTTTACACATACAGCGGTCCTGAAAACATTTTACAAATAGAAGTTTGTTAGGTTTGAAATGGTGCAGTCTGATGCAGTGAAATTCATACATTTGTCTACGTTCACAATCACTTTTTTGTGCTCAAAGGTTGTTTACGCCTGTCTCTTCAATGTAAAACAGGCAGAGCTGAAGCTAAATCAAGCTGAGAGACTTTCACTCTGAATTACAGTCAGATCTGTCTTGGCATTAATGTGTGATCTCACGTACTCGATATGCCGTCAGACTCCATTTTGAAGTTGGAGATGTCATCGGTGGCGGTCCCATCATCTTCAGCCCCCACCCCTCGGCCCCGGGGCCCCATGGCAGACAGGCGGCGCCGTGCGTGGATCTCATCTGAGATGGTCTCCAGGTTACGAAGGGCGGTTCGATACTCAGCTTTGGCCTGGGTGAGTTTATCCTGACGCTCGTCGACCCGTCGCTTCAGTTGCTGTGAACAGGTCACAAATATTGATCATCAAAATCAGATCAAATCTACATGTTAAGTTGTGTTTCTAAAAAGAATATCCTTGCATGACTAAAAACATGAAAAAACACTGAAATCAAACGGGGGAAAAAATGCATTATATTTTGACTATAATTATGATTTTTATTTTTTTTTACATTGTGACAATTCACATTATTGTAATGTGCCTGGATGTCTAATTTGTTTGTTTGCTAGTTTATAATTACCATTACAAATTTTTTTATGGTGAATCTCCTGAGATTCTCAAGACTGTATTACATACTGTATTTTTAATAAAATATAAAATAGATATTATATTATATATATATATATTACATAAAAATGCCATATAATATTAACAAAATATTTTAATATATTGAAATATACTTTATTTTTTATATTTGTAAAATATTATTTTAAATTATATTTACATTTAATTGAAATATTTTTAAAATAATACAAAAATTACTCATTACAAATTGTATGTAATGTGTCTGAATGGTTTATTATTTATTTATTTATTTAGTAATTTCCATTATTCAGGTGATTCTCATTACTGTATTACGTACAGCATTTTTAAAATAAAATATGAAATATTTTAACTCGTATCATTTCATTTTTAAATGTTTAAATATAATGTTAAAAATATTTCTAAAATATTAATTTAATTAATTGAAGTATGTTTAAAATAATATTAAAAATACTGTAATACAATGATTTATGTACATCAACAAATTCAGTACAACAGATACTACAATAATGCATAAATCATTGCAATTTAAATAATTTCAGATTATATAAAATATTATTTTATTCACATAAAAGTAATTAGAATTTAGTCTGAAATTTGTTCTTATTAGTCATGAAAAGCATACAAATCACAATCTTCATTTCTTTAGATAATACATAAAACACAATTGTGAGCCTGAACCACAAAAGCAGTCTTAAGTCGCTGGGGTATATTTGTAGCAATAGCCAAAAATACATTGTATGGGTCAAAATTATTGATTTTTCTTTTATGCCAAAAATCATTAGGATATTATGTAAAGATCATGTTCCATGAAGATATTTTGTACATTTCCTACTGTAAATATATTCAAACTTAATTTTTGATTAGTAATATGCATTGCTAAGAACTTAATTTGGACAACTTTAAAGATGATTTTCTCAATATTTAGATTTTTTTGCACCCTCAGATTCCAGATTTTCAAATAGTTGTATCTCGGCCAAATATCGTCCTATCCAAACAAATACATCATTCCATTCCATACATCAATGGAAAGCTTATTTATTCAGCTTTCAGATGATATATAAATCTCCATTTTGAAAAATTGACCCTTATGACTGGTTTTGGGTCACAATTTATTTATTTGATTTTGGGATTAAACATTCTTAAAGTATTATTTTGTGCAAAATAAAAACTGGCGTACCTCGAGCTGTAGGTAATACTTCGCCTTTAATTCAAAGTACGGCCTGCAGAGGGAGAGAGAGAGAGAGAAAGATCAGAGCAGAGTGAGTGTCAGAGCCGGTTTCCATGGCAACAGCAGGACCGGCACATTCCAGCCGCAGAAGCACATCTGGAACCCATTAGAGACGCGTCCCACTGAACTACATAACCCACCGACACACAGCAGAGCAGAGCAGAGAGCAGAGGCCCTCGGTGGGGCCCACAAAACACTCATTTCCATCAGAGAGAGGAAACATTTGAGGCTTTTCTGCCTCAAATATTGACATGTTTGAAATGAATTCTTATGATGCAAACCCTGCAGAACGTGTGCTTACAGAACTTGTTCCTGCAAGATTTTAGGGAGTCTTCGCTTTATGTCTATTGCAACATGATTTATATGTATGATTTGTAAGCGAGTGTTGCCATTATGTCATCGTAGTCAGTTTGAGGACTTAAGTCAAAGGTTTGGGTTCGGTAAGATTTTTTAATGCTTTTGAAAGTAGTCTCTTCTGCTCACCAAGGCTGCATTTATTTGATAAAAAATACATCAAAATTTGTGAAATATTATTACTATTTAAAATAGCTGTTTTCTGTGTGAATATATTGTAAAATATAATTTATTCTTGTGATCAAAGCTGAATTTCCAGCATCATTACTCCAGTCTTCAGTGTCACATGATCTTCAGAAATCATTCTAATATGCTGATTTGCTGCTCAAGAAACATTTCTGATTATTATCAATGTTGAAAACAGTCGTGCTGCTTCATATTTTTGTGGAAACTGTGATCCATTTTATTTTTCAGGATTCTATGATGAAAAGAACAGCATTTATTTGAAATAGAAATCTTTGTGACATTATAAATGTCTTTACTGTCACTTTTGACCAATTTAATGCATCCTTGCTGAACAAAACGATTGATTCTTTTTTTTTTTTTTTACATCATACTGACCCCAAACTTTTGAACGGTAGTGTATGTATATCAAACACATTGATTGCTGTCCTCTGACCTGGACTTGTTGATGGTGCGTTTGAGTTTTTTCTCCAGTTGTCTCATGTGGCTGATGGCGGTGTTGTATTTGGCTGCTGTTTCTCTGTGCTCGATTTCGGTGCGTGTCCTGCTTTGCTCCGCCTCCATCACCTGGAACAGCCAATCAGATCAGTTCAGACAAAATGAACTGCATAGCAAAGAGTACAAAAGAACAGGGTCTTAGCTGTTTTTTCAGTTGTCTTGTCTTTCTCACCCTCTGGGTAGCATGGTTGAGCATCTCCTGCCAGGCCGAGTCAAACTGCCGGCTGTCCTCCTCCAGCAGACGCTCCTCGGCCAGTGCGATGGTCTCTTTCGCGGCCCGGAGGATCTCGATGGCTCGCTGATACTCCTGCGTGGCTCTCTGAGCTTCAACCTGAGCCTGAAAGAGAAAAGCATCAGAGATTGAGGATGCTTTCACAGTTTTGCTGCAGAACAAGCTGTTTGTGTGATGCAGTGTGATGCACAAAGCAATCCGCTGTAATTTGCAGACTAATATATGATGCATGTCTCAGCAGAAACTGCCTTCAGTGAGCAGCTCACATTCTTCATCTCCTGTAATGCATTGCGGACAGATGCAAGCGTGCACATGTTAAGATGTTACATAAGAGATGATGACGCTTCCTTAGTGTTGCCAGGATACAGTAGTAAACAGCTGCTGTCAATAATCACTCATTTGCTCATATTAATGACGCAAATGTACCACATAAAAGTGCCATGCACTACAATGTGAGAAGTTCTGCTGCGAAGTTTCTACCAGTGAAGAAAGAATCACAGTTTGATTAGTAACCTGGTAACGCTTTACAATAAGGTTGTTTGTTTACATTAGTTAACATGGACTAACAATGAAAAATACTTCTGAAGCATTTATTAATCTTAGTGAATGTCAGTTTCAACATTTACTAATGCATTATTAAAATCAAAAGTTAATAAATATTTAATTTTTTAACAAAGATTTAAAAAATCTGAGTTATTATTGTGAACTAAAATGAAAATAAAACAATAAAATGTTACTTTAAATAAAATAAGTGTTACCTGGAATGAAATAACATAAAAAATTAAACTTAGCAAGTTGCCAAGGCATCATTTCTCATTGTCTTTTACCTCAACTTGAAGTACTAAAATAACTGAAAACAGAAAATAAAACAGAAATAAAATTTAATAATTACTATATAGACATATTAAAAAAAAAAAAAGAATAAAAATTAAAAAAACAACAAAATTAGTAAAAAAAATTAGTAAAATGAAATTATAAATATAACGACTGATTCAAAATACTAATTAAAAAAAAAAAAAATGCTAAAATAACACTAACTAATGCATTGCTCATTTTTAGTAAATTAAACTAACAATAACTAATGGGACCTTATTGTAAAGTGTTTTTCTCCTTATTTTTATTTTTTTTTTATTTCCACTCAATGAACAACAACCCATAAAACATTATCAGCGACAATAATGCAGCACTTGAAATAAAATAATGAAAACTTAAAACGTATTTTATTTCAGCTAGTTGCCAAGGAAACATTTCTCATTTTCATTTAGTTTAAGTGCTAAAATAACTAAAACTACAACATAAATAAAAATGAATAAAAACTAAGACATACTTAAAAAAAAAACTACAAAAACTCACAAAAAATTACTTCAGTCTGAGACTGAAACGAGATTCAATCCTGTGATTCCTATCAGTGCTGACAGATTAGCGAGATTAGCATTACAGCGAATCATGTGACCACTGCGGGACCAGCTTCTCATTTAGAGACGATCCCTCATACATTATTCAAATCTATATTCTGCTAAGAAATTCATAAAGAAAGCTTGGATAAGAAGCTACTGTATATTTCATAAAGCTCAATCTCACCCCACTGTATCACTTCATGAGGTATTTCTTATTTTTATCCTCTAAACCAACAACCTCAGCAAACTTTTAAGGAGTGTTTAACATTCAAAACAAGTTAATCACAGATGCTGTCACAGAGTTTAGCACAAAACAGTTAAACTCTGATTAACAAACCAAACAAGAACTCTGTTTATAGTAAAGAACATAACATTTTATTTAAATGCAGCTTGTGCTTTTCTTTAGCGCTTGTAAATATGTCAATTCGATTGCACATGTATTATTAATGTAGTATTTGAGCTGAGAAGTTGTCAGAATTGTAATTTTGTCTTTTCTAGAATGATAAATGAGCATTTATAAGTATGCATTACTGTGTTTCCAAAACATCTCAACTTTGCTAAATCAAGATACATTAACTTGAGAAGCAAAAAGACTTCTTAAATTGTGTTTTCTAAAAAAAAAAAGTTTATGCTTAAAAAAAAAAAGTCTGCCAGGGGG